TTTTTTTAATTAGCAGGTTCTGGCCAGCTGTGGGCCAGGTGGACTTGGCTGTCACAGGAATTCAAAGACATGTTTCTAGTACAAAGATAAGAATCTGTCAAGGGAGATAACTGTTTTATATCTACCAGATATTACAGAAATATGGGTCATTATTATGTGTAGTGCACTAAGAAGCTGTGATGTCAACCCTAAGAAATGCACTGGAACTGGTTGATGTAGCCACTTTCCATTGCCTACCTCTCAAATTTCCCTTTGCAATTGCTTTTTATACAATGGCTCCTTTTTGGGCACCCACCCACCCTCCCTATTTCTAGTGTGATTTTTGGTCGCCAGGTTTGGGGCCGGATACGAATTTTTGACCTTCATCCTGATTGGCTCTTGGATGGGGGGATTTTTCGCCTATCCCACACTGGAGAAGGGTTTGTTGGCTATTTGTTGGTAACTTCGGTCACACTGGCGGGTAGTGCGGAAAAAACAGGTTTTTTCGGTGTGTCCCAATTGTATTTTCAGGTAAGCCGACACTCTGCATCCAACCAATCGTGCGATTACAGGGCCGGTGCGGGAAGGATGCACTGGGCCACTTCCGGACCAACAGTCATCAAGTAAAGATGTCTTGAGGTCTGGGGGTGTTTAATTAGCGGCTTGCCAGGTTCCTGCTGTCTGGTAGGCTGCTGGAACCTGGGGCCGGGGACTCGCCCTATTGATGATCAAGGGGTATTGGTTACCCTTACCTGTCACCTTTTCCGCACTACAGCAGGCCCCTTATATTTGGCCATTTGTTTGGCAATTGCAATTTCAATTTCATTTTCAATAAAGTGTGGCCGGTATTTAATCCAATGCTGTTGTCTCGCTTCTTTATTCCGGGATTGGGTGGGCAAAGCCACTTTGAGATCCATAGCAGGGTGTCCTAGGAGGTTGAAACATTCTTAAACTGGTTTCTCTTTGTTACTATTCCTGATTTCAGTTTTGTTTCCATTCATACTTCTGCAAAGACATTGTCCCATTTGTTCTCTGCATAAAGCAGAGGGCTATTGTTGGCAGAAGATGTCATAGATCACATTACAGCATAAAACAAGTACTGTAAATAGGCCTTTGATATGTGTGGGCTTCCTTTGGATAACTCTAAAACATACTGGTTTCTTGAGAATTATTTTACTCAGTCCTTCTCAGAACTTTAAGATGCTAGATTGTCAAGACAGAGGTAGAGAACGGTGGCACATTAAAGTTATAGTGTCAAAACAAAGAAGGTATGGAAAAAAGGGAAAGTATGAAGATTAAAGACATGTAGAATCAGTCAAGGCATCAGGAGGAAATTAATATACTAAATGTGTAAAAATGTTTAGAAAACATACAAATTCACTGTATTCTAGGGTGCTTTCTTTTTTAGAGAGTATAATCTGCATTCAAATTTTATCAGACAGTTGTGTCTGCCTAGATTGCTGAATCTGTAACTTGAATGGACATCACCAATGAGTTTGATGCTTTAATATAGTACTCCAGGACTAGTGTGTGATCATGATTAATGCAGAACAAATGATAGTGGAATCAGAACACAGAAAATAATAGATGTATATAATCAGAACTCCATTTTTGGCAGTACTTTCTTCTAGAGGCTGCTGTGCTCTTCCCTACTCCATATGAATGTGGGTCCTATCTTTCAAGTCAGATTCCTGTAATATCTATATTTTTTCAAATTAATATTTTCAACAAATGACTCATAACTCTTTATAGGTTTTTACTGTAAACATAAAGGAAGAAATTAAGGATTAAACAGAATCTATCTAGCTAGCTATCTAGCTATGTAATTTTAAACCATTCAGAACAGCTCAATATTGACAATTTGACAGTATTCTGACAATATGTGATTTGCTTCCTAGATATTAGCTGTAAACAATGTAATGGTATTTTAAAATACTGAATAAATGTTTATGTCATTTTAAATGAACTTCTTACACATTGAGAGCTAGACAATTCCCTAAGACATTTTTTAAAAATTGATTTTGTTTGCTTTTGGTTCTAGGTTTCACCTAGAAAACATGTTTTTAAAATATAAATTTTTAGAGTATTTTTTTAAAGGGTAATTGTAAGCTACACCATTTCTTAATAATAGTTACTTCTGGTAACAGTCACCTTTCAAAAGTATATGCAGCCACATTGGGTCTGCTTTTCCACAATACTCTTCCACATTTCCAGAGACTGCATTTGGAAGTTGTGAAGCTTATGAACGGATCCAGTTGTGTTGGTCTTCCCTATGGCTCTTCATTGTCCTCCCAGAGGAGTGTCAATTCACAGTGAAAGGAACGGGACAGTCTCCATTGCTCTACATGCTTGTCTCACTGAGACAATGTGTCTTCACCACCATATGAGAAGAAATCATAGAAAAGTAGCTTCCATGCTGCCTTAAAAGATAATGGTTTTGAATGTGTTATTGTATTCATCCTGGAGGTACATTGGAACATTGAAATGATAAAATGTGTTATAGAATATACTTGGAACAGATACCCATTATAAATTTGAAATTGTGGAATGGGGTTTCAAAAATTGTTAGGAATTTCTGGATAACTACAGCAAGTATTAATGTGTGGGCTTCTTTTGGATAACTCTAAAACATACGGGTTTCTCGAGAATCATGTTACTCAGTCCTTCCCAGAACTTTAAGACATTTAAAAAAGAAACTTGGAAAACTGAGATACATCTGCCTGCTTCCTTGCCATCCTTCTTTTCTTCTTTGCTAAGGAAAACAAAAGCAAAAAGATGTACATTGGGAAGAGGCTAAAAGTCTTCCTGTAGACGATTCACAGAAAACGTGGGATGATAGTGAAGGCAGGGTGTGCACAGCATTTCAGGTTAGGCCCAGCCTAAGGGAGGGAGGCTTCCTCTGAGTTAAATGTAGGGCTTCGCTTTTCAAGCGGGAGTATTTTGAGCTCCCTTTATTCATAGTTTGATGATGTGCCTGTGTCCGCCAGGAAATGGTCTGACATTGCCTTGCAGCATCATACCCCTGACATTGACAGTAATAACCTGCAGGAAACAGGATGCCAAGCTTTAGCATAGTAAGGGTCACCGTGAATGTTTTCAGCAGTTAAGATGGTATGCAGCAGCCTTTCACAACAGGGGCCATATGGTCCTCTGGGGGCCCTGGTGATGATGTGCCTGTGTCCGCCAGGAAATGGTCTGACATTGCCTTGCAGCATCATACCCCTGACATTGACAGTAATAACCTGCAGGAAACAGGATGCCAAGCTTTAGCATAGTAAGGGTCACCGTGAATGTTTTCAGCAGTTAAGATGGTATGCAGCAGCCTTTCACAACAGGGGCCATATGGTCCTCTGGGGGCCCTGGCCCATCTGAAGGGGGCCACAGACTGGAAATAGTTCTTCACACACCACATTATAAAGTTCATTATGTGACCGTTTTTGAGCTCCCTTTATTCATAGTTTGATGGTGTGCCTGTGTCCGCCAGGACACAGTAACATGAATTTCACATGTTTTGCTGGCTCCACTGCCAAGCGCGTTTTATAACCTGCAGGAAACAGGATGCCAAGCTTTAGCATAGTAAGGGTCACCGTGAATGTTTTCAGCAGTTAAGATGGTATGCAGCAGCCTTTCACAACAGGGGCCATATGGTCCTCTGGGGGCCCTGGCCCATCTGAAGGGGGCCACAGACTGGAAATAGTTCTTCACACACCACATTATAAAGTTCATTATGTGACCGTCCATCCTGATTTGGCCTATATTTCTTTCAAATTGGGTTTACGGCTGTGGCCAAAACCAGGTTGAGAATGGCTGGTCTACAGGATGCTCTGTTATGCTCACTACCACTCACAAATAGACACAAAGAAAAAAAATGGCACCCAGATACCTTTCTTTTTACCCAGCAAGTGTTGGGTTACTATCCCTTTAAGCAGTAACATGAATTTCACGTGTTTTGCTGGCTCCACTGCCAAGCGCGTTTTGGCAGCGTGGAGCTTCTTTGCCTCCCTCCCAGGATATCATGAGACAGGAGAGGGATGGGAGGGGGGAAAAACACCTACTTAAGTGCCCCCCTCCTTTTGGCCTCTTTTTGAGGCTTGCAACCCACCCTCCCGCCCTATGGAGTACTGTAAGTTTTCTGGTTGCCGTTTGGGGCCAGATAGGAATTTTTGATCTGCATCCTGATTGGCAGTGGGCGGTGGGGATTTTTTTTTCCCTATCCCACAGTGGTCGAGGTGTGCAGGCTGTTTGAAGGGGTGGATAATAAATGGTCACACAGGTGGGTAGTGCGGATGGAACAGGTTTTGGTGTGTCCCCTTGCAATCACAGGTAATGTATAGCTCATCCAACCTACCAGCACTGTGGATCATTTACAGTGCATGGGGGGGGGCGAAGATGCACTGAGGCCACACCCAGACCGACGGTCACTAAGGGGAAGGTGGCTCAAAGTCTAGGGGGTGGTCATATTTGGGCCAGCCAGGGTCTCACGGTCTTCAGGACTGTGAGACCTCGAGGCTTGGTACTCACCCGTTTGTTTGGTTAGGGGTCCGGTGATACCCCAATGCCAAACCTGGTTCTGCACTACTGCAGGCCACCTCTTTTATGGTTGACTATAATGGTTACTTAATAAAGTGTGGCCCATGTTTTTCCCATGAAACTTGTCTTGCCTCATTATTTCGGGTTAGAGGGGCAATGACCCCATGCAACCCAGTGCATAACAATCCAGACATCAATATTTTTTTTGGGGGGGGGGAAGGTTCGGTCAGTATCCTTATATATTCATGTTGTTGTTAGATGTCATTGAATTGTCACTGTCTTATGGCAGTCCCAACTAACAGGGTTGTTTTTTGTGTATCTTAGATGTTCAAGGTTTGGTTTATCATTGCCACCTTTCTACTGAGTTTCACAGTGCTGCTTATCACACTTATCACAGTGTGATATCCCACCCAACAAATAACAGTTGTCATCTAATCCTAACATTCTGCATTCATGATGCTCATGTCTGCTTTCTCTTTCCTGTTTTATAGGTGTTTCATTATTCTTTTACGGCTTCATATGTGATATATAACATACATACGAGGTAAGACAGTGTTGTATAGATGCTGTTCTGAGTGGTGTAATGGTGCAAATGTCTTCAAGTAAAATGTTTACCTTTTTTCAAGGGAAGTTTGGGAGTTAAATCCTCCAGAAGTAGAGGACTCAGTTTTACAATATGCTGCATGGGGTGTACAAGGACAACAACTGGTAAGAACAACAATATGCATGTTTGTTTTGGCTTTTTATCTTTAAAAAAACTTTACCTGTTAGTTTGACATAAATCTGAAGAAGGACATTCTTCAGGTTGTTCCTCTGATTAGGTGTAAAGCCTAATTAACTTTACAGTTAAGAAAATACTTAACACATGTATACACCAAATATGGACGAGTGTGCTAGACTAGCTCCCATCCATCATATATGGGATGGAAAGAACTTGATGTTTAAAAAGTGGAAGTACAAGAGATAGTGATATTCAAGAAAGTTGGTTGCAGGAAGGTATGTTTCTGCCAGTCTGCCTTTAAGACTAGTTCTAAAACTACAGCTTGTGGACAATATAGTCACTGTCTAAGATAATTAACTAAGCTACTTATTTGATTGACTTAGTGTGTATATCTGTGCTAAACAATCTATGCTAGATACTAGTCTAGTAATCTAGGTTTAATGTGTTGGAACCATGGTGACATGGATGCTCAACTTCTGCAGTGCTAGCCCTCCAGTATACCAGACTTCAATTGCTGATGTAGCCTTTTATATGTTTTAACATTTTATACAGTACATATATTTTAACCTTCGTGTGTTCCCAGAGAGGAATTATTGAATTTTTTTCCCTTACTGGTTTATTCACTTGTTTATGCTGTTCTTCTGAGCTGATTTAGGATTTGTACACGTGAGAAGCAGTATAGAAATATTTCTGATAAATGCATATATAAACAAATAGGTCTTTTTTCTTACACATGAATGAGGGTGCCGAATGAACCTAAGCACATCAGAGAGTTGCTAGGTCTACCTTCTCCACAAATCAACCTAATACATACGTTCCATGTTAATGTTAAATTTACTAATCTCAGTAGGTTTTAACTAGAGATGGGCACAAACAGCCAAAATGGTGTTCGTCTTGGTTCATGGTTCAACACAAACCACAAATTTTCACTAGGTTTTCTGATAAACCATGAATCAGTTTGTCAGTTTATTGGGGTTTTTTTAAGAAAGGCTAAGCCCTTGCCTGCAAAAGCCTGTCCCCTTCCCACCGCCCCATCACCTACCTACCTTGTCCACCTCTGCCACCACTGAGGCCTCTGCCATAGCTGCCTCCACCACTGCTGCCATCATATGCAAAGACAGCCACTGCCACTTCCCTTAGGGCAGCAGAGCCTGCTCTGTCTGCTTATGGCCTGCTGATCAGCTAATTGGTGGGCCATAGGGAAAAAGGGCAGGCTAGTCTGCCCTAAGGGAAGTCAGACACTGTTTGCAAAGATGGTAGTGTGGCGGAGGCCCTGGTGGTGGCAGAGACAGCAGAAGGGAGGTGATAGAGGCAGCGTGAAGGGGATAGGAGGGAGTGGGACGGAGGTTGGGGAAGGTTCTCAAGGGGGTAGGCAATAAACCAGGGGGATCATAAATAATCCTAAAATGTGTTACTTCTGAAAAGTTTGGGTTCTCCAATTTAGTCTAATCCAAACTGAGCCAAAGCAACAAACTGATGATGTTTCACAAATTTCCTGATTTGTTTTTGGCTTCATGCCCATCTCTAGTTTTAACTGATTGCTAATCTCATTGTGTTTTAATTCTTGCTTAATATTGGGGCAGTAAGAATAGAAAAAGAAGTGGATTTGATTAGAGAGATGAAAAATGAAATTCATTTTGGTAAAACACAAATGTGTAGTCTAGCATGTGTGAGTTGACACTGTACACTAGGGTGACACTGAGAGAAAAAGAATGAGAGAGAGATTGAGAGAGAGAGAGGGAGGGAGGGAGGCAGAGGATGCACTATGAAATTGCTATATAAATGCTTAATATTATTCTAAAATTTTTGCATTAAACTTTGCAGAGATTTTTGTATACACTTTTGTCCCCATACAGAGTTCCATTTGTGGTTATGATACCCTATTTTATATTATTCAATTTATTTGTTACGGTCAGGTGACCAGCTCATAGCCTTATTTTATAGGAAAACTTGGTCTCTTACTCTTTTTTATTGAATAAGGGGCTTCTTGAAGGTGGCAGAACATATCATGAACACTGATACACTGATGAACATAAAAAAAATCTATACATTATATTCAGATTATAGCGTTTGAAAAGCATTATATATATGCTTTATAAGTAATGACCAGAACCAAAGATAACTGCAGAGCTTTGAAGCATAAGGGAAATTATTTCAAACTGACTTGTGTGATCTGCAAACAGATAACTGTTCAAAACTGAAAATGGCTCATTGTTGCCTCTAGGCAAGAAGGTGTGATGATGGCATATGTGCAGCTTCTACAGAGTTAGAAATTTTGCTAAGAGTCTGTATAATCAAGTACTCAATAAGGGTATACTGTTTCTTGCATCATTAATCAAGATAGCATGAATGGAAAAATGCCTCTAGTTAGGAAATGTCACATTAAACAAATAGGGGCAGGAAGCAATGCTGACGTGAGAAGTAATTGCATCCATCTGGAACAAGACTGGTAATTTTTAAATAATTAACTATGCTAATGTATTGATATATCACTGCATCATGGCAAAATTAAAAAAAGAAGAAATGCAAGGATTATATACTGTTCAGTGCCCTGGAACTTTAACAGTATGATTTTGACAGAATAGGAGGTAAAAGAACAGATGCTGAAAAGGATTTAATGTTTAAACTGCAGAAAGTGTTGTAGGAAGATACCTAGTAGGTTTATCTTTTTGCATAAGATTAACAGAGTGAAGAGTAATGAAGAGTGGCAACTGATTATTGCTTCATCAACTTGCACATCCCTGAATATTTGGAAAATACAGTAGCATGTCTCAGTATAAGAACACTAGAAAGAGTGAGTGCTTCTCATCTTAGAATGGCACAGCTAGAAGGGACCTTATGGATCATCCAGTCCAGCCTCTATCTATCAGGGAGGCACAAGAGGGAATCAAACTCTTAGCCTCAGGCTAAACAGCCAGATACCTAAACCACTGGGCTATCTAGCTACACTGTTATGTAGAGGAATGACACTGGAGGAAAAAAGAAGTTTATGACTATATTTTATGTAGGTCTATGTCCAGGAACCATAAACCAAAACACTTCTGTAAGACAGTGCATGCTTCCTTTGCTACTGCATAACACTGTAGTTTTTGAGGTCACAAGTATTGTTATAAATGGAGAAGAAATGTTCATGTTCCCTGAATGTTACACATTGCTGCTAAAGTGTTTGTGAGGAAAAAATATGCTCAAAATTTGTTGGGCTTGAAATAAGTACCTTTTTTCTAGCACATTTATTTTGCTGTCTATGGTGTTGGCCAGTTTTAGGTTTTTGTTTAAATGAAAATGAACCCAGATACAGGAGTTCCATTTTTAAAATGTGTAGGTTGGGAAAGGCAAAACTATTAGAATACATACACTCGTACTAGGAAAGAAGGAAAGCAGCTTAGATGATGTGTTATGTGAATGCAATACGTATCTCCATTTTAAGTTATGCTCATTTTGGGTTTAAATACTGCCTTTTAATGATGTACACTTTTAATGATATACTGTACTTGTTTTGTTCTTAAGTAATGTGTTTAAATTCTGTAAGTCGCTTTGGGTCCTTTTTCAAGGAGAAAGGCAGGTTTAAAATATTTTAAATAAATAAATAAAATGTAGCTAAGATAAGTTTTCAATTAAACAGTTTTGTTGCTTTTCATTGCTCTATAGAGCAGGGAGTAACAAAGTTGGCCCCTCCCACTGATGATGCAAAGAATTTTCCTTTAATACTTTATGCCTGTAGTTTTAGGGTATAATCTTAACTAACCAAAATAGCTGGGAGCTGGCTGAATTGACACTAAACCAGCAGAGATTGTGGTGAATCCAAATTCCTCCCAGCCAAGAGCTGTTGGCAGTAGCACCTTAACCCTGGCCCAACCTTATTTGGTATGACATGGTCACTGTGAGTATGGATTTAGAAAGCTTTGGCACAACTCAGCTTTTCTGCTGCTCTTCTCCTTGTCTATTTCCTCTTTTTAAACTCTTCTGCTGTCTCAGGAAACATAGCAGTTGTGCTGGCAGAACTTGCTGCAGATTTCTGAATTTTGGGGTGAAATTCCTCTAGCTGTGCAGAAGTGCAAGGATTCACAGAGCAGAATTACTTTGGGTGGACACAGTAGTCCACCCCTTTTTTTTATTAACTGGTGCTTAAGGTATCAATATTTTACTCTAAGACACTGGTTGAACAGATCAAACGGCAAACTGACAAACCATGATTGCTTTCAGGAACAATCCTCAACAGACCTACTGCTTTCAGAAGGAAAATGCACTGAGCAGAGGTGGGAGTCTCTTTGAATTCAGAGGCAAGAGGGAACTGTTGGTTAGTGCTGGATAGACTGACAGTAACCACAGCCCAGGAAGGCCCCTCCCAGTCACACCTTCTCCAGAATGCAAGGTTGTAAAAATTCCAACAGAACTGAGATCAGCTAGCACAGGGCCTGTTGTGGTAGCATAAGAGGTTTCTGCCCATTCCAGACCTGCTAAAGCTGTTATATTTTTGAATTTGGAGTACGCTGCTGTATCTTCGACCACTTAAGAATTCGTTCGTTTAGTCGTGTCCGACTCTTCGTGACCCCATGGACCAGAGCACGCCAGGCCCTCCTATCTTCCACTGCCTCCCGGAGTTGTTTCAAATTCATGTTGGTTACTTCGCAGACACTGTCCAGCCATCTCATCCTCGGTCGTCCCCTTCTCCTCTTGCCGTCACACTTTCCTAACATCAAGGTTTTTTCCAAGGAGTCTTCTCTTCTCATGAGATGGCCAAAGTACTGGAGCCTCCGCTTCAGGATCTGTCCTTCCAGTGAGCACTCAGGGTTGATTTCCTTTAGAATGGATCAGTTTGTTCTCCTTGCAGTCCAGGGGATTCTCAAGAGCCTCGTCCAGCACCACAATTCAAAGGCATCAATTCTTCGGCGGTCTGCTTTCTTTATGGTCCAGCTCTCACTTCCATACATCACTACAGGAAAAACCATAGCTTTGACTATTCGGAATTTTGTTGGCAGTGTGATGT